CACGTCTTTCTCCTTTTTGAAGAACATGACAGAAAAGTAGCCACCAGTCAGTCAACACAGGACGTTCAGTGCTAACCTCCTGAGAACGTTCCACGTGCTCTGGAAGTCGTCACTCCATCCTCAGGGCACATTCGTAGGTGGCTCTAGGCTATATTTTGCACAATAAGTGTAGGGAGGGAAAGTCCGGTTACTCCGAGCCCTGCTGCTTTCTCCTTTTTGAAGAACATGACAGAAAAGTAGCCACCAGTCAGTCAACACAGGACGTTCAGTGCTAACCTCCTGAGAACGTTCCACGTGCTCTGGAAGTCGTCACTCCATCCTCAGGGCACATTCGTAGGTGGCTCTAGGCTATATTTTGCACAATAAGTGTAGGGAGGGAAAGTCCGGTTACTCCGAGCCCTGCTGCAAGTGCTGTTACAGAGCATGAAGAATTCACTTTGACGAGACAGCAAGTGCTTGGTCCTGCAGCAGTGCAGGTTTGGCTGGGAGAGCCCAGCAAGTCAGACCGCTGCCAGGAGAGAGGAGACCATCCCGCTGGCCCAGCAACCGTGCCAATGCGCACCATGTGGCAGCACGGGTCCCGTGGTCGAGAGGTCAGAGCCGGCGCAGTCCCGCTCGGGCGCCTGACGAGCTGACAAAGAGAAGCAAGCCCCGCTCGAGAGAAACAGCAGCACCCCGACTGTCAAATGGCTACGCCCTGAAAGAGCCTCCTCAGGCGCTGGCATTCCCAGCACGCGCCACAGCCCCGTCGTATTGAACCGGAAGAGGGGGATTTCGCCAAGAACCCTTCTGGCTCAGGAGAGAATGCCAGGAGCGGATTTCCCTTCTCAAGTCAATCGGTGGTCCCACATTTCCATGGCAATGAAAGCGGTTCTGTCCCTGGCTGTGGTTCCATGGGCTGAGACCACGGCTGTTTCTGGGTGGGAAATGGTTCTCCTCTCCTTCCTTCCCCCCGCCCAAAGGAGATGGTTTTTATTAATATTCCCATCCTGAATTGTGACGTCAAGAGCACGGCTCTCTGGAAGCAGGAGTCGTCACAGGGGTGTTGTGGATGGAACGGGGGCCAAGACTCCACCTTCTGCTCTCTCATCTACTTCTTTGAAATTCATCCTCCCCAAGTTAATTTGAGCTCTACTCACTGTGTTCGTCTGCTTTGCCTCGCCCTGCTGGCAAGTCTTAGCTGCCCACTGCCTCCCTGTGAAGCCTGAAACACACAGAGACATTGGGCCTTCCTCTGTTCTGCTCCCAGATGTTACAGGATAAACCAATCCTCCCTTCTTCAGCACAAAAGGGCTCGTCAGGGCTGTTCCCCACTCTGGCACTTTGAGTGCTGAAGGTGGGACCCACAAAAGATCTTAAATACCTTGCCTCTCTAGGCTCTGCTGACACAACACTCCCCAGAGTCACGGATTCATTGCCCCTGGGAGACAGGCTGCCACCATCAAGTGAATTAAGAAAACCCCTGGAAACCAGGAAGAAACACTCGCGTGCCTTCCCCAGGGTACCCCACGCTCTTTTGCCACAAGACAGCTTGAAAAAAAAAGAAACAAAAAACACAGAAAAGAAAGTGTCTCTCTCATAGCTGCCCTCCCAGGCTAGGCAGGTGCCCACACAGGCCACCTGTTGCCTTACAAGACACTAGAATCAAATCAGCACCTTAAAACAGGCAATTAAAAGGTACACTGGATAAAGCAGACTTGGTTGCCAGGTGTTACAGAGCAACTGAGAAAAGAGCAGATTAAAACACGGAGAAAAAATGGAATCTGGCACAGCTTAGGTGTAGTGAGTGAGGGGGGAGGGAGGCACATGGGTTTCACACAAAACAAAGACAATGACCCTCATTGCGACTAAACATACATTCCCTTCTCTACTCATGATCCACACAAAGCAACAGCAGCCAGGTATCTGTGTGCAGCTGAAATGTCAACAGCCTTTCCCGCTGGCTTTCCGCCACACCCCCTTGCTACCTGAGTCTAAGCCTTTAGGCACCAGATGCTAGCCAGCTCCCCTCCTATCCATGGTTATCAACAGCCTGTTCTTTTTGCGGCTGCAGGGCTGTTTCCCCAGACACTGGGGACAGTTCTTTAGTTTTGCTTCAGGATTTCCTCTGACCAATGTTACCTTAAAACTGACACTCTCCTCCCACCTCTTGCCCCATGTCGAGAGGTGTCTGGCCTGTGCGTGTTTATTAGTTTTCCTCATCCCCTTCCCCTTTGTTTATAATCTCGCAGTCTGTAAGCTCGGCAGACCCGTACTCTCTTTGGGTAGCACCTGGTTCCAGAAAGCCCCACTCCGCTTTGGGCCCGTACGCCCTCCTGCAATACACATAATGAATGAACACCGACTCCCGCCATTCGCGCCCTCCCCATGGGAGTCATCGACAAGCAACACAGGACCGCGGCTTTCAGCATGTACTTACATTCTCAAGAGGCGCCTGCTGGGCTGGCAGCATGGTTTAGTTGCTGAATGCATTCGTTTGGATTCCGCCTTTCCCTATAAAAGCAAACACGTTACTGTTAAAACCACGGAATCGTTGTAAGTACTTTAGCGAGTCACCTGTAAGACAGCGCATGACAGTAGCCATAAAGTTATTTTACATCACTGTAGGAAAACTCGAGCCATTAAATTTCCAGCCCTGTGGTAATTATCTGGAGCAGAAATTAAGTGGCAAAACATGGGGTTTTAAAGCAAGCACATGACTGGTGGTTTATCCCAGGAAAACTAGAGCTTTTGACAATGGGGAGAAGGGATGGAGGGGGGATAAATTAGGTCCCAGTCCTGAAGCTTTTACTCATGAGATTTTGTTGATTTCAAAGGGACTACTTGTATGAGACATAAGAACGGCCAGACTGGATCAGACCAACGGTCCATCTCGTGCAGTGTCCTATCTGCCCACAGTGGCCAATGCCAGGTGCCCCAGAGGGAGGGATCACAACAGGTAATCCTCACGTGATTCCTCCCCTGTCTCCCACCTCCAGAGAAACAGAGACCAGTGACACCATTCCTACCCATCCTGGCTAACAGCCATTGATGGACCTAACCTCCATGAATCTATCCAGCTCTGTTTGACCCCTGTTAAAGTCCTAGCCTTCACCACATCCTCTGGCAAGGAGTTCCACAGGTTGACTGTGCGCTGAGTGAAGAAAAGCTTCCTTTGGTTTGTTTTAAACCTGCTGCCTATTCATTTCATTTGGTGACCCCTAGTTCTTATATTGTGGGAATAAGGAAATAACTTTTCCTTATTCACTTTTTCACATACCAGTCATTATTTTATAGACCCTCTATCATATTCCCCCCTTAGTCTCCTCTTTTTTAAGCTGAAAAGTCCAAGTCTTTTTAATCTCTTCATATGGGACCCGTTCCAAACCCCTCATTTTTGTTGCCCTTTCCTGAACCTTTTCCAATGCCAATAGATCTTTTTTGAGATGAGATAAATGAGACCTAAATGTTTTCATTTCAAGGAGACCCAAGACGATATGTAGCTGATGGGCCCTCCCTAATGCTGCAAGGGGGCATTTTCTAGCTGTGCATTAGTGGCATTTCAATGAATTGCCACATTTCCTCATACCGTTGCATCAGTTGGGGCAGGTATAGAAATTATTTGTATTGCAATAATTCCTCCCAGAATAGCCCCATTTAAGTTGTGCATGAAAATCTAATAGGTGAGCATTCCCATACGGCCAAAATGACACAGGGTACGTATGTGCAGTGGTCAAGTTCTGCCCAGGTACCCGAATGTAAAGCTGCAAGACACCATCTGAATTCAGTGGAATCACTCCAGATTTCTTCTCCCTGTTGCCATCCCCCCAACAAAACTATTTAGACCCAAGTTCATGCAAAACAGAGCCTGGAGTCTCATTCTTTGCCCACCCCTGAGCTCCGCTGACTTCATGGGAAGTTTTGGGAGCAGACCAATCGTTTGTATTCTGTGTGAAGGATGCTTTGAAAACAACCTACAGGTTGAACCTCTCTAAACCGGGACTCTCTAGTCTGGCAACATCCGTGGAGCTGCAGTGGCCATGAGGCTGGTGGCAGAAGAGCCAGTGGCCAGGAGCCCAGCTGGCAGCCAAGTGCCCAGCCCAGGGAGCTTGGAAGTGGGAGGCCAGTGGCCCCGGTGGCTGGCCAGCAGCAGAAGGGCCAGTATTGACCTTGGCACCTATGGGACCTGACAGGCTCTGAAGCAGGGAGTTTGCCAGACCAGGGAGGTCCAACCTGTGCTATACTATGTGCCAGGCTAGGGTTACTTTGTCTTGCTATAAAAATCAACATTTAAAAGTTACTATGCAGTATTTTCTACTCCGGAAAGATGGTTTGTAAGCCAGAAGGACATTCTTGGACCGGTTAGTGAAAAGCAGCCCCAGCCCCACGGCCCCTCTACCCTGGGTGCGTTAATTAGGCTTTATTTACATTCACCAAATAGCATCACCGCCCCCCGGGCCCAGACAACTCGCCAGCATGCAGGGCATTGCCAGGGTGCTTCCATTAGGGGGAGAAAGCGATTCTACCAATCGGTATTTCTTTGTTCAGTCTTGTTCCTTTACAAAGAAGGCTTTATGCAAGGGCTCTGTTCCCTGAACACAGCGGGGACAAGCAGCAGCGGACAGGTGCCTTTCCAGGCAGGCCTGGCCCCAAAGAAGCTGTCTCTAAGCTTTGTGCCAGAGCTACGCTCCTGCTTCTAACGCCCCCTGCCCCATCCGTGAAACAAAGTCCCTAGCACAGAGGTTCTCAGCCAGGGATGGGTCCACCGAGGTCTTCCAAGGGTATAACTCATGTCGATATTTGCTTCATTTGACACACCAAGCACTAAGTCCACACAAACTCAAATTTCACACAGTGACTTGTCCTGATGTTTCAGTGTCAAGAGCAGCAGAGACAAGATATTTATCCCAATTGACCTTTTTAATGACATGGTGCAAACATGAAAGCAAGCAATTGGTCAGTCACAACAGTGTCACAGCACACGCTCTGTCTACTTTGTAACAAACCAGTTTTGCAAGGTGATACTTGGGGCAGACAAGACAAAGACTCCCCAAAGGGTCCAGTATGCTGGAAACTTTCAGCGCCCCTCCCAATGTTTGAACTAGTCCCAGCAAAACCTTCCAGATTGCCTGACTGCTCAGGTTTCATTACACAGTCCAGTACCTTGGGCAGCAAGTTCTACTGTTCCCAGCGTCCACTCCATAAATCCTAGAATCCTAGCACACTAGATCCGGCAGGGACCGTGAGAGGTCATCGAGTCCAGTCCCCTGCCCTCATGGCAGTACCCAGTACCATCTAGACCATCCCTGACAGGTGTCTGTCCCACCTGCTCTTAAATATCCCAGGGATGGAGAGTCCACAACCTCCCTGGGCAATTTATTCCAGGGTTTAACCACCCTGACAGGCAGGAAGCTTTTCCTAATGTCCAACCTAAACCTCCCTTGCTGCAGTTTAAGCCCAGCTTTAAATGGCTTTAATTGCTCCTATTTGCTCTGACAAGAGGGGCTGTTAACACATCCATCAGTTTGAGCCAGGTCTGTGATTCACGGAATAATGGACGACCTGCCTGAGGGCAGCCATTAGCACATTTCAGTCTAACAATAGATGTGAAATTTAGACACTAAAATGAGCATTTTATCCCTAGTATGTTTAATTATTTTATCTTGATTTACTTGCCAGGGTCTGGAAAGCAGGGAGGCCAAAGGCAGGAGTGAGCCTATATTGCCCAGAAGGCTGGAAGAGTAACAGGACACACATAGGAAGCAGCAGCAGAGGAAAGGGACGGTACTAGTGTCTTGCATTAGCACTGTGTGAGCAAGTGGGAGAAGGATGAAAGAAAGAGCCCCCAAATCAATATCTACAGAGGCATAAGCTGGCGAGGACTGAGAGAGCCGCGCCAGAACAAAGTGATTCTGCACGCTGGTGGCAGGAGAGTGCAGCAGATAGAAGCACGTCGGTGAACAACGGCTGACTTCGAATTGCCATGCAAGCTTGATACAAGAGAACGCACTGGCTCTCTTGCACCAGGGCAGCGGTGTCATTACTCTGAGAACGTTCGATAAGGAATTACTCTTCTAAATTCTTTCACAAAAACGAAACAGAGCGTGGCAGAATTGGCAGCATCTCCTAGCGCCTTGACTGCCCCGCTTCACGGTGTCGATCCAAAGCCCACTGAAGGGTTTCAGCGCCAGCCCCATGTGCCGAAGCAGGAGAAGCGGAATTTGAGCTTTTGGAGAACACAGCTGGAGACATCATGTTCTAGACGAGTATTTCTCAACCAATACCCTCAGAGACACTCGAGAGAAATCTGGGGGGTACGTCACTCCTCAGAGACACTCGAGAGAAGTCTGGGGGGTACGTCACAACTGACATTTGGAGAAAACTGAATTTTTGTTTTAAGTTTTACAGAGTTTTATTATTTTTATACCCAAAAATTTCATCGCCCGCCCAGCTACGATTAAGTTGTTTAAACAAATGTGTTGCAATGGTAGAAAAAAATGGTGTATCTGAAAACTGTAGGTACTGGGGGTGCTTATAATTTTTTTTTAAGAGGGGGTACTTTATTTAAAAAAAAAAAAAAGGTTGAGAAATACTGGTCTATTCTATATTGATTCTTCTGCCATGCTCATCACCAGCCTGAGCTCTGCCCCTTCCCAGCATGGGCACATCCCATATTTGGAAACCCAGCTCCGCGGAGGAATGTATACGCCAGTTTAAACATGCGTGACATCAGTACGTGGGAAAGTTGGTCCAGAGGGGGAACTGGCTGCGGGCTAAAGGCATGTGCAGCTAAGAATTCCTACATAGCTGCCTTGACGCTGAACGCCTAGGGAATCTAGAAAGCAGCTGAAGGAAACCGAGATCATCATCCAGGTTCACAGGGAACAGATGCATCAAACTAAAGCAATGAAATAAAAGGTTAATGGTCCGATCTACCCATCAACGTGAGGACTTGCTGAGTCCATTTAAATCATTGGTAAAGTTCCATTAACTCGAGGCTGCCTGCCTAGCCCTGACTCAGGCCACCACACTGCCAAGCTCCCAGAAGGAGGAGTGCTGGAGAATACCATACAGCAGTGGTGGGCAACCTGCGGCCGTTGGGTCCTAGGTGTGGCCCAGGAGACACTTTGTGCAAGGTGCGTGCCGACTGCCTGCAACACTGACCGAGCCGTGTGCACTCTCTGCGTCCAGTCACAGTGCTGCCACCACCCAAATCCCAGGGAGCTGTACTAACCGCGCATGCGTACCTATCCCTTGGGTCCAACAGGCCTGTGGCCACTGAGAGGAAGGAGGCTACTCACTAGCCTAGGCTGCCAGTGCTGCTGTACAGGCATTTTCTGTGCTAAAATACTCAGGCACAGGATTCGGGGCCGGGCAGGGGGTGTTAATGGAATGACCAGGTTAGGGCCCAATCGTGTAAGAGTTTGAGGAATTAACCCTTTACCTTGCACGTCCCTTGCTATTCTGGCGTACGCCGTTTCATTACAAATACTCAGGGGAAAACTGGGGGGAAG